TGTGAGTGACCCTCAGGATTTCTGGAGTCTCACAGCTCCCCTTGGTGCCATCTTGTCTGGGGCAATGGCAGAAGGGGTGTGAAAGCCAGGCTGTGAGGCTGTATGAGTGACCTTTCCGAGGGGTATAGGGGGGAGGAAAACAGCCACTGGCTTCAGCTGTGGGGTGTGAGCAAGTGGAGAAATTCCAGCCTTGCTAGTGCTTTTGTATTGAGGGAATTTTATTTATTGCCCACACCTTTCGCAAATACCTTGTGCCTGGCTGGAGTGAGAGGCTGTGATGTCCCCTTGCCCTCCTGAAGCCACTTGGGAGCCCCTCGCTGGGTGCCCCCGTACCAAGAGACATGTCTGATGTGCTGCAGCAGTCCTGCTTGTTTCAGGACTGTCATGCTCCTGGTGTGACTGGCTGTCTCTGGTCTGTGACCAGCTGTCTCTGGAGTCCCAGTGGTCAGGGAGGTCATCCCCATGGGGACTTGGCCACTCAGCCTGGGCCCTGTGGGCTTTGATGCCTCAGGGTCTTGCACAGCATCTCAGAGGAGATCTTGCTGGATCTCGCCCTCGTGTCCCTCCAAGAGCAGGAAAGCTCCTGCTGCCTGGGCTGGGGAGGATGGAGCTGTGCACAGCCAAGGAGCCTGTTCATGTTCCCACCCCAATATGGAGGAATTGTTTCCAAAGCTCTTGGCAAGAGAATAGAATATTTCGGTTGGAAGGGACCTACAATGATCGTGTCCAACTTCCTGACCACTTCAGGGCTGACCAAAAGTTAAAGCACATTACACAAGGGCATTGTCCAAATGCCTCTTGAACACTGACAGGCTTGGGGTATTGACCACCTCTCTAGGAAGCCTGTTCCAGGGTTTGACCACCCTCTTGGTAAGGAAATGCTTCCTCATGTCCAGTCTGATCCTCCCCTGAGGCAGCTTTGAATGGTTTCCCACACATCCTATCACTGGATACCAGGGTGAAAAGATTAGCACCTCCTTCTCCATGTAAGGTGAAACGCAACACTCAGAGGGAATAAAGTACTACTTAGAAAGGATTTTGAAATATTTAAGAGGAGATTATTACTACTTCAATGCCATTACTCAAACAGCTTTATTTCAAAACCCGTATTAGGCCATTGCAGCATGCAGGAACTACACATCAAAGTACAAGTGCCCATAGCATGTGGAGCAAGTTTAGGTACAGCTAATGTGTACAGGGAGGGCAGGTTTTCTTTCCAGCCTTTCTCAAGAAGTGTCAACGTTTAGCAACTGCTCTTTGATCCTTCAGGATTTGGGATTTCTCATTCAACTATCCTTTTTTTTTTCCTTGGGTTTTTTCAGGCAGCTGGGAGGTGACTGCAGAGTCAGTACAGGTGATGCAGTCCTCAGCATCTCATTTTTCCTTACTTCCTGATCCATCTTTCTTCTGCAGTGTAACCCCCCAGCTATGCTGCATAACACCAGTACAATGATTGTACTTGGGCAGTAATTGTGTATAACAGACTTCTTGCTCTTAAGCAAGCCTTCTCTTCCCTCCCCCCTGCCCTGCATTTCTGCTCCTGCTTTGCTCCCCCAGTGCTTCAGCAGGCAGGCATGCTCTGTAGCCTGGGTGGAAGCGAGCTAGCGTGGGAATCTGGGCTCATCCTTGTTGCAGCAGATTTTGGCAGTTGCTGCCTGTGTCTAAAAAAAAAACGGCGGCGGCGCTGCGAAGCCTTATCGTGCTGGCTGTGGTGCTTGTAGCTGCCTGCAGTGTCCCAGCCATCGCAGGTGGAGACCCACCATGGCACTGACGTGCTGCTGGAGTTGCCTGTCTGTGATATGAGATGTCTTTGCCTGTTGGCGTGAGAGCCCCTCTGTCTCTAAGGCCTGTGCGTCACTGGGGTGAGGCTTGGCTTGTGGCCTGGGGAGCTCTGAGCCCAAAGAGAGCAAGTCTCTGGTGTCACGGTGGAACAGTGGGTGATGGCAGAGCTGGCAAGGCACCCGAGTGCTGTGTACTCTTGCTGTGCCACTCCTGGACTACAGAACAGGATGGCTGTCCAGGATTCTGGGATGTGTTTAGGGACCAAACTTGCCCTGGTGCCCTCCTTCAGCTCTGCCTATGTTGTCTGTTTGGGCTGACCAGTGTCCATCACCAGTAAAGGGCTGCTGTGCAGGCAGTGAAAGGGGTATGAGTGGTGTCAGGGGCTGGCTGGAGCCCTGGGCCCTGAAAAAAAGCAGACAGTGGGGTTTTAGGAGCTTCCAAAAGGCAGACACCAGGGGTTTTGGTAGGGCTGAGCTGTGCCGGGAACGTCAGCCGACCAACAAGGTGCAGCCTGTGCCCCATTGAGTGTCTGCGGGGAGGTGGCGGGGAATGAATTGCACTGTCTCTCATGCCCCATAAATACGCCTCTCCCTAAATAGTCTGGCTGCGCGGCTCAGTGGCAGCCGAGTGGCTGTACCCAGGTCCTAAAATATTCGAGCTGTTTTAAGAGGTGAGCGGGGTGGGGAGGGAATGCAGCGGTTTGTAGGGTGCTGTTGTTGCGCTGCGGGGCTGGCACCGAGAGTCCGGGGGCTTCATCTTCCCTCCTGTCCGGCTGTCCCCTCTGCACGGGACTGGTAACCCGGTTTCAGGGTGAATCTCGGCGTCAGCTGCACCCTGGCCCGGCACGCCCGCCCCCATTGTGCGGGCGGCGCAGCGTGCTGCTCTGCTGCTATGGCCGCTGCTGGCAAGACCCCGTTTCTCACAATCCTGGCTTTGTGCTGCCTCTGCAGGGATGGCCAGCCCTGAAGCTGTGCCCCACGCTTAACCCCTTCGGGGCGGCGCGTTTGCCCCCGGGCTTCGTGCCGGGGCAGGCACAAAGGGACGGTGTTTGCTGCCTAGGGTCAGGAGCAGGTGGATGCTAGCTGGGCATATGCCCTCCTTCTGCCTTCATCTCCATATCCAATACCTCCGAGAGGGACTGGGCAGTGTCCCCACCCTGGATGGGCAGCCCTTGATGGGGGCCTCGGTGTAGTCCTGTGTCCACACCCAAAGGGCAGTGTGAGATTGCTGGGGCCAAAAAAATCCCCACACCAATCCCAAGTGCCTCTGTGCCCCTGTGTGCTTTGCTACTTTGTCTGATAACAGGCACCGCCTCTCCAGCTGCCTTACTCCAGAGGAATGGCTCCACACCCTTTCTCCCAAACTTAGAGCAAAGCAAATCAACAATTAAATATTTCACTTACTACACTTCTGTGAGGTCTTGAAAGTGCATCTCGGAGCTGGGCTGGTTAATGCTGTGAATGTGTACCTTAATTAACTGACGCCTTCTTTGCTGTGATGAACCCACTGCCTTTCCTCCCCATGATGTCTCAGGTCTGTGACCTGGTTTCTGCTCTGATGGAGGTTTCTTTCCTAGTTTTTCCAGAAAGCTGTCCAGCTTGGTGGGCTCTCGGGTTTGCTGGGTGCAGAGCATGCAGGCAGATTGGTAGCAGAGGCCGTGCGCCAGCCTGGTGGTGACATCCCTGTTATTTGGGGTCTCTTGGGTCTGTCACCCTTGGAAACAAAGAGACACAGGGTATGAAAGGTGATTATGGAGGCAGTGGGACTCTGGAAAGCCATGGAGGCCATGCCAGTTTGGGGAAAAAGCACTGTGTGCCTGTGCTCATGAGGGCAGGGGCAGAGCTCTTGGCTGCAGCCTGCAAGCAGCTTGGGGTTGGTGGCTTTGTTCATGCTTTCCTCTGCCACAGTTTCCTCTGTGGCTGTGAGGTTTCTCAGCTGGAAAGGGCTTTTTTCCAGGGTAACCATAACTGTGCAGGTCTCAGTCTGGGATGGCTACAGCCCCGATTTCTTTGGAAGAGAGCTAACAGACAATGAAAGATGATAGGTGGGAGGATTTGACTGGCTCCTGCCAATGGGAAAGGTTCAGCGCCATGCCTAGCGTTTCCTTTCCAAATGGCTGAAAGGATTTAATTCTGGCAGGGTTGAGATGTTTGTGAGGGGGCAGTAGCAGGCTGTGCACTGGGGCTGAGCCCAGCCTGCCAGGCCCTGTCCCATCCTCCCATGTGAGCCCCCAGCTCTGTGCTGGACCCCGATGGCAGGACCAGAATGAGGGAGGGCTGTCGATGGGCTGTCTGATAGTAGAGCACCCATTCCTTCAGCCTTTAGACTTTGTGACTGGTTTTAGACTCAGTGATGGCCCTGATGAGTGTGAAGCGCTGGTTGCAGGGTGGGCCGGATGCTTTGCTTGCACCTGCAGTGGATGTCAGGGGAGGAATTGGTGCACGGCCCCAGGCTGAGCATGGCAGGTCGCTGCCTCCTGGTCCCTCAAGCACTCTGCCCCTTTGCACAGGTGCTCTCTTTTCCTTCAGAGTCCTTGCAGTCCTTTGCACTCTATTGGGAGCATGGTCCCACTTCAGTCTTGCTCTGGAGGTGGGCACTGTTTTCTTCTGTCAGCCTGGCCCTGTGATGCAGCCTGCAGCACCAGCTAGGATTGCTGTGCTCCCCCAGGATTTCTGCTCTGCCCAGGGACAGTGAATAAACAGCTGCCCTGAAGCATGGTGCTTGTGTAGTACAAAGCCATTTTGGAGAGGAAAGATCTTAACAGCTAGAGGGGGTGTGTTTTGCTTACAAAGGAAGATAGCTGCTTTCTGCTGGGAGGTTCTGGTTGGTCTCTGCTCCCTGTTTCTCCTTGAAATGAGCAGGAGACCTGGCAGCAGCTGGCTCTGGCATGCCTTTGCCTCACTGCGCTGGTGCATGGTGTAAGCTCCATGCAAGAAACCTTCATGCTGGACACACAAGTGGGCGAGATGGAGATCCCGCTGAGATAAGCTGAGTTCCTCCATGTTCCTTCTGTGTGGGTGGTTTGGTCTGAGCTCCACTGAGCACTACTCTCTCTGATAAGACAGCTGTAAAAGCTGCCAGCTACTTCCCTGAGCTTAATATATCTCAGCACTGGCCATATCATGCAGCTTCCCCTCTCCCCCAAGCTTTGAACCACCCCATGACTTCATCCATTTGCACAGTTCCTCTTCTGGGAAGGTGGATATGGAAGATGAGAGCTGACCCACTCCTCTTTGCACCCTGCAGGTATGACTCAGGACGGGATGGGTACATCGACCTGATGGAGCTGAAGCTGATGATGGAAAAGCTGGGAGCCCCACAGACCCACCTGGGGCTGAAGAACATGATCAAGGAGGTGGATGAAGACTTTGATGGAAAGCTATGCTTCCGTGAGGTGAGGGTGGCTGCAGAAGCAGACCAGGATGTGGCTGTGGGGTGGAAGGAGGCGACAGCCAGGCCTTGCACTACAGCTGTATGTAGCCCTGTCCCCTCTGTGTTTCTCCAGCTGTGGTGTGCAGTGAAGCAGGTGAGTTTCCCCATGCCATGCGGAGCTCAAGGTGCAGAGCACTGTCAACATCCATCTCCATGTTGCCATAATGATACCTGATACCAAAGCTCTCCAACCTCCCTGCTTGCTTTGGGAGCACACTTGAGCCCTGCTGTAGCTACTTGGGAGTGTTGACAGAGCTCCCTGCTGTAGCTGGAGGCGGCATGTCCCTCCAGTCCCAAGGTCTCATTGCTGGGCTCCTGCAGTACAGCAGCTTGGACCTCATTTCAGGTGCAGGGCAAGGGCTCTGCTCAGAGCAGCTGATCTCATGGGGTGCAGGAGGCTTCCTTTTCCAGTTTATATTGGGTCCCTCTCTGCATCACACCGTGACCAGCCATGGCAAGCTTCACAAGGTAGCCTCCCTGTAGCAGGTATAAACATGGTGATGCAGCAGTTTGGTACTGTATGCTGGCTCAGCATGGACACAGAGCAAACGGGTCTGTCATCACTGCTGTGCTGAGACTGCTGGGAGCAGTGTGGATAGGCCAGAAACTGCTGCTGGGTGGAGGAGAAGGAATTTGAGTAGTGACCTGCATTCAGTCAAGGGTACCCAACTCAGCAGGAAAGAGGAGCCCAGATACCAAAACCTTCTGTTGCATCATCTCCTCTCAGGCTTGGAGTACTGTCTCAATCAGAAATGTACATCACACTGGCTTTCTGAATTAACTGACAGCCCCTTAGGCAGCAGGAGCGCCAGCCTGCTTGTGTCCTGCACCAGTTGTGGGAGCTGTGCTGCTGTCCTGCTTCCTCCTGCCCCAGAGGATGGCTTCGATTGGCCCTGAGCAGTTGGGCTCTCTTGTTTCTGCAGGGGCTGTGCTCTCACCATGCCTCCTCCAGGGCAGGGGTTTGGTTGTGGAGATGAGGTGCAGAGCTCTCCACAGCTCAGGACAGAGTTCTTCATTTTGGAAGTTCTGAGACTTTTGGCAGTGCCTGGGAGGTTGAGCAGCCAGGGCCTGTGACTGGCTCGACTGGTCAGGGTGCGAGGGGTGACTGGCAGCTCATAGAGCTGCTGCTCTGTCTCTCTGTGCTGGCACATCGTAGCATCTCTCCCTGTTTTCATCCCCCAAGGGTCCTGTTGCATTTCTTTTGCTGCAAGAGGGCAGCAGTAGAGGACAAAGGCCAAAGACTGCTGGGTTACAGGGCCCAGCCCTTAGAGAGATGGAAGAAAAGACATGCAAATCTGGGAAGTGAGAGCCTGTCTGTTCATACCAGCAAAGCCCAAAGCCGCGAAGCCCTAAGCCATCTACTTCTCTGGGTGAGGAAGGGGACCTTCCAGGTCAAGGTGAACTGGGGGTAGCAAAGAATCCAGCAGAGCAGGAAGAGCACCATGCCCATGGTCCCAGGTCAGACTGTGATTGCCAGACTGAGTGGGCTGGAGGAGCCCTGTGTCTCTCTGTGCCTCCTGGGCCACCCTTCACCCCGGTGAAGAGCTGGGGACAGCCTCTGGGCTTGCTGCAGGGCCTCTCCTGTGAAAGAGAAGTGTCTTTATCCTCAAGGCTCTGGAAGATGCCATGGTGTCCTGACACCAGTGGGGTGGCACAAGTGGCAGAGCAGCTCCTCTTCTGCTGCCACCTGTTTGGAGCACATCCCCCTGCATGGCCGCCTGTCAGCCAGCGTAGGCTGCCTGTGCTGCCAGCTCTTGGCACGTGGCACACAGCAGCTGGTGCTGTTGTAGCTTCTTGCCAGATGGAAAATGATGGTCAAGCAAACACAAGCTTGAGTGACACATCGGTTGGAATGAAGGAGCGTCACTGGCAGAACTCTGGGGACAAATTACATGGCAGCTTTGGCATGTACCCAAAGCTTCCCATGGTAGAGAGGAGCAGGATGCTTCTTGCTGTGTTCAGATATGCCATGTCCAGCTGCTGTGTTCAGGCAGAGAACTGGCAGGGCGGCAGGTTTCCTGGTGGGTGAGGAGGCCTGAACCAGCCCGTAGCCCTGCCCAGCTCTGCTTCCTGTTGGTGTGATGAGCAAGCATGTGGAGGGTGACCAAGTGGACTTGGGATGCTCTGTCAACACAAGGAAAAACCCTGGTTTAAATGAGTATCCAAACTCAGCAGGGTGTAACTCAAGTACTAGAGGGCTCCTGTCTGCCTCTCCAGAGAATGAAGAGTACTGACATACCTGCTTGAAGACATGCTTCTTGTGGCCTGGCCAGAGAATTGATAAGGCCCTCTTTCACTTGCAATAGGTCATCTTTTGTTGCTTCTTTGAGTAGTGTCGTGTCTGCTTATCCAAGGTAAGCTGTTGCCTGGAAAGCAGGCTTGTATGGCTCTGACTTACTGCTGATAAACCACTGGCCCTGTTATGAAAGCTACTTTCTGCCACTGACCTTTGAGCATACATCAATACATCAACAATTAACTGCACAAGACTCCCTCTGTGACTCAAGCAAAGAAATTTAGGCTTAAAAAGATTAGGTACAGTGTGGGGGAGAAAACATGTGACTATCTGGTTCTGTCCTTACCACAGGAAGCCAGAGTTAATTGCTATAATAGTAATGTCTAATTGTAGCTGCTATCTGAAACCCACAAAAAATCCGTCCACTCTCCCAGACGCCTGTACCAGCTTAAATGCTGACCCACATCATGTGTTTGCTAGCAGGGTTGGTGCAAACCACAGCTTCGGGTGGCACTGCTTTTCTGGCAGGCTGCTGCTGCCACCTGTCAATCTTGTACCTTCCCTCGCATCCCTGAGGCCAGCATGGTGCCCAGTGGGGCTGCATAACTGCAGCATTGATCTGAGAACTGGCACTGTGGGGTAGGTCTTGGATCACAAAGGATGTGAGAGCAGATACATCTCTTATCTCTTGTGAGGTTAGTGTTGTAGAAAGTGTGCGTTATGTCCTCCTTGAGAGCACAGCTTTTAAAGGTACCAACAGTATTGACTTTTGCTTCTCTATGGACATTTCTCTGAAGCTTAGCTGCATGTGGTGTGCCCTGGGCCCAGTGAGGGTGTGAGACAGGCTAGGAATGGGAGCTGACAAAGACTGCTGGTGTTCTCCAGTTCGTAAGGAACAGTGCCTTGAGCAAATAACTGGTGAGGTGAGCTGCAGGTAGGGTGCTGACGTGAGGAAGGATTGCTCCTGAACTGTGTGTTCAGTGTGATGCTCCATGGTCCTGTTGGTGTGATGAGCAAGCATGTGGAGGGTGACCAAGTGGACTTGGGATGCTCTGTCAACACAAGGAAAAACCCTGGTTTAAATGAGTATCCGAACTCAGCAGGGTGTAACTCAAGTACTGGAGGGCTCCTGTCTGCCTCTCCAGAGAATAAAGAGTACTGACATACCTGCTTGAAGACATCAGTCTGGCAATCACAGTCTGACCTGGGACCATGGGCATGGTGCTCTTCCTGCTCTGCTGGATTCTTTGCTACCCCCAGTTCACCTTGACCTGGAAGGTCCCCTTCCTCACCCAGAGAAGTAGATGGCTTAGGGCTTCGCGGCTTTGGGCTTTGCTGGTATGAACAGACAGGCTCTCACTTCCCAGATTTGCATGTCTTTTCTTCCATCTCTCTAAGGGCTGGGCCCTGTAACCCAGCAGTCTTTGGCCTTTGTCCTCTACTGCTGCCCTCTTGCAGCAAAAGAAATGCAACAGGACCTTTGGGGGATGAAAACAGGGAGAGATGCTATGATGTGCCAGCACAGAGAGACAGAGCAGCAGCTCTATGAGCTGCCTGTGTGTGCCAGTGCGATGCTCCATGGTCCACCTGTCTGGGTCCTTGAGGCTGACGTTAGGCTGTGTCCACCCCAACCGGTGGCTCGGTGGCTCAGTCCCTGGTTTCCTTAGTTCAGCCTGCCCTTCCTGGCTGTGGCAGCCTGTATTCCACCAGAGGATTGCTGCCCCATCCCCTAGTTTCAGGATGATTCATGCACACTTGTAGTCATGACTGGGTGTTTCCAGTCCCTCCCCCAGCGACAGCTGTACCAGACCTCAGGATTGTGCTGCCTCCACTGCCCTTTTCCAATGCCCGGAAGAGGGACTGACAGGGTGGAGCAGAAACTGTGAAGAGGAACCATGACTAATACCAGCCTGGCTGCCAGCCTTGTGTCCCTGTGCCTGGTGGTGTAGGAGGAGAGGAACTAGCCTGACCCCAGCAAATCAAAGTGGAGGGAGAGGGTGTCTTGGGGAGGATTTGGTTTCTTTCTGAGCAGGATGTTCTGCCCATTCATCAGAGCATCATTTAATTTCTTGTATGTGTTTGGAGGGGGAAAAGTTCCTTGTCCAAGTGCAGCCTGCTTTCTGGCTTCTCCGTGCTGAGCACACGTGGGTTACAAGGCTGTCACATGAAGCAATGCCTGGTGATGCTGCCTCTGCGAGAGGGCAGCTAGCGCTGCTGTCATCTCCACACCCTTCCCCATGGGAGGCCTTCCCAAACTCTCCCATCTCTACCAGCTCCCACGAGCAACTTGAAGCAGGCAAGTGCTTTAGGAGCTGGCTCGGTGTGGATGCTGGGACTCTGCTGCCCTCCTCCGGGACAGCTCGGGCTCTCTGTAGGAATAAGCAAAGTCCCAAGCCTGGCAGGCTGAAAAGCACAGCACTGGAGATATTTGATGTCCCTGTGCAAGTGGATTTCAGGGCAACCCTACATGCTATTTGCAGCCCTCTGGCCTGGACTGAAAAAAAAGGTGTGATTTCATGGACCATAATACAGTTCTTTTTTGTTGTTGTTGTTTGTTTCCCTTTGCCATTCACTTGCCAATATGCACTCTAGTTTAGTGACCTGGATTTGTTAAATGTCTATGGTCCAGTGGAGGACAAAGGTTTTAAAACAAGTTGCTCTGTGGATGCTTGTTCAAGCCACTCTATTAAAAGGGCGTGCACACACTTGGGCTGCTGTTCTCTCTTAACAGGAATGCACTGGTGCCTTGGTTCAGGGAGCCTGGGGTTCAAGTGTGAGCCAGGGCTCTCTTTGCCCTGCTTTCATTGTCATGGGATGTGATCTGAGCCCTTGGAACACTGAGGAAGCTGGGGGAGCTTGTGCATACACCGTTAGGGTGTGGGGACATAAAAAGGTGTATCTGAGCCCACCATAAGGTTGTACTAGGCAGGTGGAACAGTGGCCTCCTTCCTCTGGCCATGTAGCAGCCCAGGCTTGGTAGGAGCTGTATTTCACCAGGGTTCTGCTCCCCAGGAAACCCTCTTTTCCTGTGAGACTTCTACCTCTTAGGAGCCAGGGCACTGGAGCACAAGTTAGTGGTGCCACTTGGTTTATATAGAGCTGGTTTCCTTTGCTTAGAAATGTAAATTCCAGCCCCAGGTGAATGTCTGTGCTGTTTGCATTTTAAGTTGTTTGAGCCTCAGGGAAGAACTTGAATGTTCTTTTCTGTCTTGCTAGTTCCTGCTGCTTTTCCATAAAGCTGCAGCTGGGGAACTCGAGGAGGACAGCGGCCTGTTGACTCTTGCGAAGCTCTCGGAGATAGATGTCTCCATTGAGGGTGTCAAAGGAGCCAAGAACTTCTTTGAAGCCAAGGTATGGTGTGGCACAGCAGAACACAAAAAATCTCTGCATGCAGGCTTTAATTGCCACTGAGACACTGACACTGCTTGGTTTTCAACAGAGGATTTCTCCCTAACTAAAATGATGCGTATTTCATGCCCCTCTCTGCCCCCACCAAGCTCAGCCATAGTTTTTCCCTTCGAACTTTGTTGGACTCTAGCCGCAGCCTTCCTCTGCAGATGAGTCAACACTACAACAGCTTAATTCACCATCTCTGTCCCTGGTAGAGCTAACTGGCTGATGTGTCCCCCTGTGGCTAGGAGCTCTATGGGACCAGCTGGCTGACTGCTTTTAGAGACAAAAGCATCCTGAAAACTAATGCAATAAGGACAGAGTTTCCCATTTTGCAAAAGCTCCCTCAACAAGAACACTCTTGAGTTCAGTGGTGAATGGAGTATTTCGGAGTATAGGATTTCAGACATCTTTCTCGAGCAGCTCTCTATTAACATTTGGAATCAAAACTATTTTGCAGGGTCCTGGCAGGGGTTGGCAGAAAGAGCTTTGCACCATTCAAAGCTGACAGAGCACCCTTTTTGAAAGCTCTTTTGGAGAGAAAATAATCCTGCTTGTTTATATAAGTTTTTTTTCCCAAGAGCATAACACAGCTATTGCACAGCAGATGTACTGAGATGAAAGCTGGAAAAATAGCCAGCAAATAAACAATGTCTCTTTGATCTGCAGATTATCCCTGGTGTAGTACGATGTTCTCGGATTCGGCTGTGATTCAGAACTGTTTTCTGCAGTACTTTCTCCCACTGTATACTCACAACTTACGCTGTGCTGCCTGCTTACAGAAGGAATGTATGTGACCCAGTACTGATGGCATTGTTTTGGGGACTTGTTAGTTAGTGACTTATTAGTAAATGACCTTTCTTTTGTTGATGTTAATATCAAGCAAGCTAACAGGTATGGGGTGTAAATGGCCAAACACCGCAGTGTAATTAATACTTCACCCATCATGACAGAGCTTCCCAGCAAGCACTGGGAGTTGCAGCAAACAGTTCTGCATTGCTCATCTGGGAGTAGTTCTGGCTCTCCCTCTGATGCAAGGCTTGACACTTTTTTATTTTCTCTCTCAAAGGTTCAAGCCCTCTCTTCAGCCAGTAAGTTTGAAGCAGAGATAAAAGCTGAGCAGGATGAGCGAAAGCGGGAAGAGGAGGAAAGGAAACACCGCCGAGCAGCTTTCAGGGAGTTAAAATCTGCATTTACTCAGTAACCGGCCAGCCAATATGCACTCTGAGATTGCACATGACTTGGTACTTTTCCCAGATCAGGGCTCTACCTGGAGAGAACTGCCTGAATCCTGCCTAAAACTCATTACAGCTTCGCTAGCCTTCCTCTTCTGAAGATCCTCCTGAGTTTCTAAGGGCACAACTCTTGCAGTTATTATGCATTCATGATGACATGAATCGTAAGAGCTGTGTACGTGCTCTTTGCTCTGAACTGCCAGGAGCATGTCACCCTGAAGCAGAAGCAGCAGGTAGCAAAACATGGGTGAGCACTGACAAGTGTCATATTTGCCTGCTTCATTCTTTCCTTCTTTTCTATACCTCCTTTTTCCCTTAACCCCTTATTATTAATTAATTCCTTGCTTACAGGCAAGTAGTCAGGTCTTCTGTAAATCAGGGTGTACAAAGTACAGCTTGACTTCCTGTACGTTTGTACTGCTGTTGGGTGTTGTCATGCATCCTTTGCTATCCCTTTTTTTCTTCCTCAAAGCCCCATGCCACAGGCACTGTAAAGACACTGTGAAGAGAGAAAGATAGTTACTAGGGACATGGATCAAATTAACATTTCCTGTAGCATTTTCTCCACCCAGCATGTTGGAGAGTCTTCCATTTTTTTCTTCTCTGAAGTGCCATAGTAACAAACCTTTCAATAAGAGACAAGATTTCCCAGGACTTCGAAGGGAGGAAGCTGGCTCTCTCTTTAAATGAGGAATAGAAAACTGAGTTGCCTGACCATGTATCTTTCACATTCCATCACGTTTAGTGTACTGTACAGCTTCACTGTATTTTTCCAGCCTTAGGCAGCTGTATCTGTTTTTAAGGGATATTGCCAGCTGGACAACAGATTTGGATGGCACACTGGGGTTTTCTATTTGGAAATTTGCTCATCTCCTGAATCATGAAGGTGACACTGATTTCATTAGAGTCATGACAGATAACACCAGCCCAGCATACTGAGCAATTCCTGCTCAAGAAGGGAAGAGCAGTGAGGTGAGCATGTTTAGCTGAACTGAATTTAGAGGGCTTGCACTATATTATTAGCCATTTTCTTCTGCAAACACAGGAAACTTGCCCACAAATGTTAAAATGCCCACTGCTTGTCTGGATAGATACACTGTAGGTCATGGCAGGGGAGCTGTGTTCCCTCAGAGATGTCTCTCGAAATGTGGATTTGCTCAAATTCTGCTTCTACTATTGCCCCAGTTTGTGCATTTCGTTTTTTTTTTTTCTTTCCAGAACAAAACTCACCTGTTGTCTTTTCACTTGTCTGTTTTGCTTCTTAAACTGTGAGCACTAAACTGTGAGCATGGAATAATAAATAGAAAAACCTCTACTCTTTAATGTCAGGTGACAGAATTGCTAAACAATTAAACTGTGTATATATATCTTCACAGATTATATTTTATAAATCACGCTTTTTTAGCTAAATATTTATAATTAAATGTTTTTATACTTTACAACAAAGCAGATAATTTCATCTTCAATAATTTCTCCTGTTGCTGAAATGTACAAATAAAGTATTATCTCCAGTCTTGTCCGTGGTTTATTTTAGGTCCCTGAATATACCATTTTGTCACAAATTACATAGTGATCCCCAAAGCTTGGCATCCTGACTTGGATGAGTGAGAGAAGTGTACAGCCCCTTCTTGATAGCACTTCCCCTTTTGTACAGCAGTTCTGGTGTAAAAAGCCCTAATGTTTGCAATTCCTCAGAAAGGGCCATGGCTGTATAAATGTTTGAAATACTGACATCTGAATGTTGTCAGCCTTCCCTTATCTTAAAATAGCCACTGTGTCTCAGCCCCTGCAGTGCCTTAGCTGGGAGCCAGGCAGGTTGCTTCAGCTAGATTTCCCTTTGCATTTCCTCTTTCTGCTTTTGTAGAAGGGAGGGGGGGGAAAAAATACCTGGACATCTGAAAACGTGTCCAAGCATCTTGTTTCTACTGTTGTTGATCTTCTAAGCTTAGTTTGCAGGGTGGGCTCAGGAGGAGGTTTAACCATGCATTGTTTAGGTATGGTCCAGTGATGAAACAGAAGACTTAAATATCTTATCCAGTGCAGCCCTGCTTTGTGCAGTGTCGGCAGTTGATGCATTCACTGTCCATGAGCCCTTGGTCTTGGAGGTCGGGTAAAATCAGGGTGAAGGTTCCTCAGTCTCTAATTCTACAGGCGAATTGCAACACTGCAGCTCTTGATTTTGGTTTGGTTTGTGTTGTTTGGGTTTTTTTTTGGTTTTTTGTTTTTTCTCCTGAGCATAGCAAGCACTGCTGACTTGTGCTGCTTTGCACGTGCAGCTGGATGAGGAGCCTGGGGCAGCAGGAGGAGAGGGTGACAAAAGGGTTTGCAGTGGTTTTATTTTAATAGATATGAGTCAACTCCAGCTGACAAGTTTCAATAAGGAAATGAGCAGCGTATCTGTAGTAGTTTTGTTCAGTTCAAATAGGTGCTGTTACTTGGGACCTCTATTCAGTGCAGTGAGCAGTAAGTGCTTTTGGATGTACATTTATTTTGTTATTCAGGCTTTCAAGCTGCAGCAATGTGCGTTTTGAAATTAGCTTTGCAAAAACTGACATTGGGAAATTAATTGCTTCCTAAATTGTTCTGTTTTGCTGGCAACTATTGGATTGGATAAAAACATCATTAGGTTATGCAGAAGTACTAAACAGAAATCGTCTAGCAAAGTCTCCCATCTAATACTTACTGGCTGACAATACTTAATTGCATTTACCTATAATTAATATATTGCAATCCTTGATGCTCCTTTTATGCCTGATGTCACCACAGGTGGCTCTGAAAGGTCCTGGCAATCCCAGCTCTCTTTACTGGTACCTGCCAGTGCATTAATACCCATCTGGCACTCCTGACATGCTGCAAGTGACTCTTAAGTCCGTTTGTGATGGCAAATGGAGAAGTTTGATGAAGAGCCTATTGTGCTTATGGGCCTTTCCCAGAAGGGACGAAGACTTGCTTCAAGTCACTCATCTCCTAGAATGGGAACTCCAGGTAGTCCTTGATCCCTGGAGGGTTTTTGTTTAAAGTCTCCCAGAGTAGATAGATGTACAGTAGAGGAGTCACTGGCACTTCAGTCAGCAGTGAGGATGTGTTCAGCCCATCTGGATACTCAGATCCCAGCATGTTTCTCAATGATGCTTCTGTCACAGCCATTGTCGTTGGCCACAGGGGACAGTGTGTGATGCCAGGAAGTCTTACCTAAAATGCTCAGCGTAAACACAGTCTAAGAGAGGAAGGGCACAGTATGATGGGGCTCTTCCTGGCTTAGGGTTCAGGTTTTATATATGAGGATTAAGGTGACCAAATCAAATTTTAACCTCACAAGAGTGTCCAAATAAATCCCTTGCAAGATGGATTGGAGTAACTGGAGTGCTTTATTTTTGCCTCTCAAACTCAGCTTGCTACATATGGGAAGGACATCTTAAAATAATGGGGTGCTGCAGAAGTAGCAGTGTATTTGTGGTAGTGTGTCTTTCAGCATAAGCCATCTGAGGTGACACATGCATTGAAGTGACTGCCTTTAAAACCTACAGTTGGATGTTCGCCTGCCTGCCTTGCCCGTTGGTTTTATTATTTTTAGGGATGTGACGAATGAGGACGTGGAAAATGGAGGCTGCTAACAAGATCTTGGCTCTTCTCAGACAAAATCCCTGGTATTTTGACAAACAGGGGAGCCATTTTTCCAGATAAAGAAAAGTGGGGACGGTGAGGGGAAACACAACAGACTCTGCTGCACCTGCTGGGCTGCTTTATGACTGCTATTTTCTGTTTCAAAGCTGTGCTCCGTTTGTAACTCCATTACTGTACGGAGGGAGGCAGGCTCTTGCTTCCAAGCTAGGATGGGTGAAAACAATGGGTCAATAAGGAAGGTTCTTATTTTGTTAGGGATGCCACTTCCCTGCACTTGCGTTTTTAATAGTGAGGATGAATCAGCACAGTAATCCAGGGCTCTGAAGTACATCATCCACTCGGTAACCAGCCTAGCTCTGGGGTGATTTCACACCTACACATATCAGCTGAAGTCCTGTAATTGAACCATGCAGGAATTTAACCACACAGGTACAGTCTTGAATTTTCATGACAGTCTCCCTGTTTTGCTTGAATGAGTGTTGTGGAGGATTTAAGATGCATCTGCTGTTACCAAAAACTGGTCATCTGAGTTGCCTTGAGGTATTTTACAAAAATGCCAAGTTCTGTAGATAAGGCATGTTTCAGATACTCTCCTTGATTTTTTTTTGTCTCAGTAGCATAATGTTTGTGCTAATTGGGATTAAAAAAATTATGCAAGTGCTAAACTACTCCCATCTCAGATAAAGCTTGCCCTAGAGCATGTGAAAATATTTTTGAGTGCTCAAACTCACATTCGGTAAGTAGAATAACAAGACACAGCCACTTCCACAGTGAAATTGGAAGTTCTCACTGCCAGCCTGAAATGCAGCATGCCTCTCTCCCACCCCATACTGTTATTAGTATTGGCTCAAGCTGTGTGGCTACAACCAGGAGGATGAAATACAGCTTATCAGAGGCCAGCCCTTTGCTAGGGAGCTTTGCTTTTACATACCAGCCTCTTAAAGGAGAAAATTCATTCTAAGATTTGTGGGTGAAGTATTCCTATGTTGCTCTCAGCTTAAAATAAACCCCAAAAATTACAGGCTTTCAAATCATTAGCTCAGAAGAAGCACTTGTGTTCACTGTTGCATCATTTTTGGCCAGTGTTCAGTGCCAAATGACAAGCATTTATTCACCTAGAAGAGGACAGAGAAGGCTACATGGATTGTGGCTGAAATCATGACTGCGGTAAAATTGTTTCAGCTGAAAACAGTTATACCTTCAATAGTGCCTAACAACCATGAACAGTTTTTTAGGCTAAAGGAACCACACGGGGCTATTCCACATCATGTACTAATACGGGTTTGAGGACTAAAAATAAAAAGTATTTTTAGCTGAAAAAAGTTTGCCTTGAGCTCCTGATTTCTCCATCAGGAAATCTGGAGCCAAAATACATAGCACCGAGCACCCTTTCCCCTG